GCGCACACAGATGGCCCCGCGGGCACCATGGCACCCATGGTCACCGTGTTGGGGACCACTGGTATATATTAAATAATCATCCTTTCTTAATTATAAAACACTAGAACTGGAAGGACCTCAGTGGTCATCAAGTCTAGTCCCCTGCCCTCACAGCAGGACCAAGCACCATCTAGATAATCCCTGAGATGTCTGTCTAACCTGCTCTTAAATATTTCCAGAGATGGAGATTCCACAACCTCCCTAGGTAATTTATTCCAGTGTTTCACCACCCTGACAGTTAGGAACTTTTTCCTAATGTCCAACCTAAACCTCCCTTGGTGCAGTTTAAGCCCATTGCTTCTTGTCCTATCATCAGAGGCCAAGGAGAACAATTTTCTCCCTCTTCCCAAGCCTCCCCTTTCAGATACCTGAAACCATTATCCCCTCTGTCTTCTTTTCCAAACTAAACAAGCCCAATTCCTTCAGCCTTGCCTCATAGCTCATGTTTTCTAGACCTTTAATCATTTTTGCTGCTCTTCTCTGGACAGTCTCCAATTTCTCCATCTTTCTTGAAATGCGGTGCCCAGAGCTGGACACATTACTCCAACTGAGGCCTAATCAGTGCACAGTAGAATGAAAGAATGACTTCTTGTCTCTCTCAACACTCCTGTTAATGCATCCCAGAATAATGTTTGCTTTTTTTAAAAACAGTGTCACACTGTTAACTCTTATTTAGCTTGTAGTCTACTAGGACCTCTGGAGCCCTTTCTCCAGTACTCCTTGCTAGACAGTCACTTCCCATTCTGTATGTGTGAAACAGGTTGTTCCTTGCTAAGTGGAGTACAGGCAGTCCCCGGGTTACGTACAAGATAGGGACTATAGGTTTGTTCTTAATTTGAATTTGTATGTAAGTCGTAACTGGCTCCAGATTCAGCTGCTGCTGCTGAAACTGACCAGGGGCTGACTACAGGAAGCTGGAGGCAGAGTTTCAACAGCGGCTGAATCTCGAGCCTGGGACAGAACAGCTGGGCCAACCCTGCAGCACCCCAGCTGCTCTACCCCAGGGTCCACAACAAAAGCCTGGTCTGCTCTACCCCAGCAGACCAGGGACATGGGGAGCAAAGCCGCAGCGGCGGCGGGGTGCCGCACATCTGAGGCTTTGCTCTGGCAAAGCCTCAGAGGCGCGGGACCCCTCCGCCTCCCGGCTTTGCTCCGGGTGTCCCTGGTCTGCTGGACACGGTCCGCAGCAGACCAGACGCACCCGGA